GCGTAGCCAAAGTACGCTATATCTCGAGAAAATGGCGTGCATTGGGAATCGACACCCGTACGAGAATGGAGCGAGGACCACAACTTGTGCCCATCACGTACTTATTAGGATCTCGTGAATTGACTACCTAACATTCTAGCCGAGTCCATTTTATACTCTCAAGGACTTTCAGAACCACAAAAGCCTGGATGCCTACGATCGACTGTTCTGCGGTTGGGTTAGTGGTGCATCGATCAGTCTACATCTATCATGTGAACAGTGAGACTGATCAGATCTAACGTCAGATCTACGTTATCCGAGCACGTGTAATGCACTCCCAGTCTCTGATTATGCCATCTCTCTATCCGTGCATGAGTCACGATGAGATAAATGGGACAGGCATCATGTCAGCACACTGTAATTGTAAAGCACGCTATCTCGAGAAAATTGCGTGCATTGGGAATCGACACCCGTACGAGAATGGAGCGAGGACCACAACTTGTGCCCATCACGTACTTATTTGGATCTCGTGAATTGACTACCTAACATTCTAGCCGAGTTCATTTTATACTCTCAAGGACTTTCAGAACCACAAAAGCCTGGATGCCCACGATCGACTGTTCTGCGGTTGGGTGTAGCAGTCTACACCTATCATGTGAACAGTGAGAGTCCCATCTACGTTATCCGAGCACGTGTTATGCACTACCAGTCTCTGATTTTACCATCTTTCTATCCGTGCATGGGTCACGATGAGAGCATATGGGACAGGCATCATGTCAGCACACTGTAATTGTAAATCCGGGCTTGGTAAATTCTGTTAATATGTTGCCTCGGTGCTATTTTATGTAGAGTATACGTGCAAGAGAAATCACCACCCCACTCAAACAGCTGCCTACTGGCCGATGCCGGCGATATATGTATATAAGCGTAAATGTGTAGCGGCGTGCGCCGTGCGTGCGGTGTAACTGTGTGTTGCAGAGATGCATTTGACCGGCATTTACAGGTAATTATCGGCAATACTAGGCGAAAGAGAGTAGAGAAACATTAAGACATTGGTAATAAATACATTTTGTGTTTATTCAGCATTGCTTCTTTATTGAAAATGCTTCAAGCTTCTGTGGACCGCCTGGTCTCTCGTCACTTTACCTTGTGTTGTGATCACGCTAAGCAGCCTAAAAAGCTGTGTGGCTCTAAAAAGCTGATACCGATTGCTGCAGTTGACAACACCGCAGGAGAGCGGCGTTGTGATGCATTTGCTTAATAGGCGAATATAAAATGAGCAGAGGTGCGCTGCTCAATGTACTTGTACCATATGTACTCAACTATGCCTGAACTGGTTTTCTGTATTCCGTCAGGCGCGGCGCGCGGTTGCACTTGTGGTAAGTATGAAAAACAGTCCGGGGAACTCTCTTATCTATGGCATAGATATAGGCTTGTGTGTGTGTGTGTGTGCGTGTGCGCGCGTGCGCGCGCAGTTAGGTGTGCGTGTATAGTGGGTAGTGCGGTGTGTGTGTATGTGTGTGTTCGCACGCGCCGGTAGTGTGTGTGTTCTGTGTGCGAGGGTGTGCGTGTGCGTGTGGCGCGCGCGCTGCGCATAGCGGGTGTTGTGTGTGTCTATCGTTTGCGGTTGTGTTGCGTAGTGCGCGCGGTAGTGTGTGCTGTTGTGTGTGTTGTGTGATTGCGCGCGCGCTATATTCACTGGCGTAATGAAGTTTAACCATTAGCTGTAATAATTATTAGAAATTCTATTACTAATGTGAAATTTTACAAGATTCTTTGATGGCACCTTTGTGTCTGTGATCGGTAATATATATATGTATATATATATATATCAATATATATATTATATATATATTATATATATACTGTGGTAACGATGCTGTGCGTGTACC